TTTATCTTTTTGTCTTTTGTTTTCTTTTTTGTTCTTTTGGATATCTGAAGCAAATTGATTTGTAAATGACCAAGGATTATTCCAAGAATTCAAATTATTTAGAGATACTGTCAGAGGAGAAATGTTATGACTGGCTTTATTTTTATATTCTAAAGGATGCCTTTATTGTTAAAACAAGAACAAAAAAACCTGCAAGAGACTACTGCCATATTCAAATCAAAGAGCATTATTATTGTATCCATTAATGCCTGAAAAAGGTTATATGTTACTTAACTTACTTCACAGAATGTCCTATGTAGAAAAACAAATGAAAGTGAGGATTTCACTCAGTAAGTAGATGTGACAAGATGCCATCTGCTGTCCTTTTTAACTCTAAGGTATCACAATGCTGACAGAAAGGCACAGAATGTGACAACTGGAAAGGACCTTAGAGAGCCTGTCGTCTTCATAAAATCCACACACACAGAGGCTCATGTCCATACTCAAGGAATGAACTATAGAACTAACAGGGATAGAAACCATATCGATCTCTTTTTGGCATAATATTCCTACATTGCATTTAAAGTATTTATATGAACAACTTCTTGCTTGCTGAAGACAGATGGCTTTAAATTCATTTAGGTCAGCTGGTACATGTTTTCCTGGTGAATAAAACCCAGAAAAGGATGAAGAAAATAAATTATGGAAGCTCTGGAATGAACTAAGTGACTTAAGGATGATTCTTTTATTTTACTATTTTATTTGTATCTTTATATGACTGAAAAAAGTGATTAGAAGTTTAGCATGGCTATAGAACCAGTATAAAGTCAATATAAATTGTTCAAACTTACAGCTACCCAGTGCTGAACTCTTGAACTGTGGGGACAAGCTAAGGTTCTGCCTTTAATGAGAATTAAATTCAACTTTCATAAAAGATTAGTATGTGAAAAGTTAGACACCAAAAACACAAACTTAAGCATGAAAAATATATCTCTTATAATTTTATCTCTTATAATTCTAAAAATATATCTCTTATAATTTTATCTCTTATAATTTTATATGAATTCCAGAATAATGGTTCTGTGAGTTGTATTGCCTCCAGTGCAGATCCTTAACCTGCCCAGATATAATAGCTACTTTTGTGTATCTCTCAGTATGTGACAGGCAATTGGTAATATAAACTAATGAAGTTTGATCTCTTATTATTTTAATTTTTGAAATGAAAATTAAAGATTATGGCAATTGTTGGAGGCTAGTAACTCTATAATCCTCATACTTCTTCGCCTCCCCATACCTAATGTTAATATTCTGCCTGCTAGTGATTATATGGTGCCACTACAGCTGGAATTACTTGTGTCTTCTAGACTTAATAACCAAATTAAATAGAGTCGCTGGATACAAGGTCAACACAAAAATCAATAGCCTTCCTGTACTCGAACAAAAGACTCACTGAGAGAGGAACTGCAGAATCAACTCCTTTCACAATAGCATCCTCCAAAATGAAATACCCAGGAATCAATCTACCAAAAGAAATCAAAGACCTCTACCCTGAAAACTACAACACTCTGAAAAAGGAGATTGAAGAGGATATCAGAAAATGAAAAGACATCTTTTGCTCCTGGGTAGGAAGAACCAATATAGTGAAAATGGGCATACTTCTAAAACTACTATATAGATTCAATTCAATACCAACTGAAAGACCAATAGCATATTTCACAGAACTAGAGAAAACAAACCAAAAATTCACTTGAAACCAGAAGAGACTTAGAATAGCAAAAGCAATTCTAGGCAACAAAGACAAGGCAAGGGCTATCACAATCCCCAAATTGAAACTATACTTGTGTACTTTGAGACCAGGAGAAACCAGGCATTTAAACCATGTCGTAGCAGTATCCAGTGGCCATATGAAATTAAGCAGCTAGTTACATTTCTTTCTCAAGAATCCTAGGAGATAGACTACATAATTATCATCATTCAAGTGCCTACAAAGCTAATCCTTACTTTTTAGTAAGCTGCTTGAAAACAATTCCAAGGTGAGCAGTTGCTTGGCCTACATTATTTCATAGTTATAAGTCAGGTAACTCCCTCTATAAATCCAACAGTGACTGAAATCTTTAGGTAGTCTTAAAACAAAATTATATGTTGAAACACCTGTTAATTCTGCACTCAATCAAATAGAATATGTGTTAATGCTGCATCCCAAAGAGAACAGAACTCTTATTTACCAATGACAGATCACCATTCAACATTTGCAAATTAGGAAGTGCACAGTCCTATAGCAATTGCCTGCACATTGTGAGGTAATAAGCAAGCATTCTGCTGGAAACAAGGGTGTGATTTCTAGTCTGTGTGATGTCCAGCGTTGCCCACACAATTTGGCAACAGAACCCTTGCAGTAAGAAATAGTGACCTTCCCACTTTAAAAGCTTTTAAAAACATGTGTACTTAAACATCAAACATTAAATAAAATAAATGACTCAGCTTGTGCTGTACCAGTAGTGAAGATTACTTAATCATTTTATTCTCATTTCAGAAAGGTAGCGCTAAAATGTAGGCATTGCATTCTTTTTAAGCTCATTACCCTTGCCAATTCATAAACATTTTTGGTATATCAAGGTATCAAAACTATATTGCTTCAGACATTTAGTTATACTTTGAATACATTTGCATTTAGCACCTTCTAATCATTAATTTTTTAAGATCATATTATGTAGTAGACAGGCACCATGACCATTGTTGTGGATACAACAGTGAGAAAGGTCTATGTTTCTTGCCTTCCGAAACTTACAGTGTAGTGACAAAGACATAATGTGAAAAAAAAAGTCTTCGTAAGTTGTCTGAAGGTAAATATTAGAGTCAGAATGAAATCTTTTCTGAAGAGGTAATTGAGAGCTATTATAAGTGATAACTCTGAGCTGAGAACCAAAAGGGGAAGAAAGTGTTCATAGAGGAGGAAGAAGAGGAGGAGGAGGAAAAGGAGGAGGAAGAGAATGAGGAGGAGGAGGAGGAGGAGGAGGAGGAGGAGATGGAGAAGGCACTGAAGACAAATAAATAGCTGTATCACAGGCTCAAGGAGCCTAGCTAAGGCTTGTGATTTTTGGAGCATATTAGGCTGAGACTAAAGACCAAAGTTAGAGTTAGAAAGAGGAGTAATGGCCCAGATCTTGTAAGATATAAATCAGGCTGAGAGGAATATATTTTATAAGTAACAAGAATCCATTAAATCCCTTTTAGGAGAGTCACAAAGTACAGTGGTGTCCTCTGTATAAATACAAATACTGTATCCACAAGAAAGAAATAGATTATTGGAGGATGCATTGGAATAGTATAATGGGATCTTCAGAAATAGAAGAGTGGCCTTTTGAAAGTATAAATATTTGCATGTGTGACAAAGGTATTGTATACAAGTTGGGTATGTAGAGAGTCAAGTTGAAAGTATTCAAATGTGTCCTTTTATTATATTATAACATTCTTACCTCTTCAAATATCAAGGATTACAACTTACAAAATTTCTTGGATGTTCTTGGGTTTCTTCAGACTTGAAGACAGAAGACTGGGACATGACTAAAAATGTACTTCTCTTCAGTTTCATTGTCATAAGTTGAACTAAGAAAATTATGGCACATGTTATAGAAATCTCTCGGGTAAATCCTGTGCTGTGTGTATAAAGCTGCTAAGTATAGCATGCTAATGCAAAAAATGTAGGGGTCAATCCTTTGCAGTCAAACCACAAAACATAAAATGAGCCAAAATGAAAAGCATACCAGAAACAAGTTTGATGCACAAAACAGTTTGTGTTTTGAAAAGCACAGAAACAAGTAAACACACAACTTGGTGCAGAGCTCAGTCATAATAAAAAAGGGCTAAAACTCACTGGTATAATTTTTAGCAGAGATAGGAAGGATATGGAGAGAAGATTTATAATTAGTTCTACTGTTCTACAGCACTCTGGGGTAAGTACGGTTTATAAAATTCTGCAGTTGTTGTAGAGGCATAGGTTTTTCTAACAGAGAAATTATAAATATTTGAGGATATGGAGATACTAATTATTCTTGTTTGATCATTTTGTAGTGTGTACATGTATCAAACTGTCACTCTACTCCATAAATATCTACAAATATGTCTGTTTAAAAATTCCAATGGAAAAAATCATTTTGTCTTCACATTGTCTTCACAGAACACATTGTGAGGAATATGTTTCATGTTTACATCATTTTCATAAATTTCTTCATTTTCATTATTTTAACATTACTATATCTTTATCTTTATTAAATGCACACAAATAAAGTAAAATTTATCTACTTTCCATTAAAAATATATTGGTAATTCAGAGGAAGAAGCAATAACCTCTAAATGGGAAAGGGGAAAAGACTCCATGTAAAGGACTTCCAGGAGTTTAAAGGACAAAATACCAGAAATGATCAGAATGGCATTGCAAGGGTAATGACCACATGTAGTACTTTAATCAATGAGAAGAAATCTATTACAAAACTTTCTCCTGTTCCAACCAACAGGAGAGACCAAGATCTTAAGCTAGGGCCATTTGGATCCACTTCTAACTAAAATAATCTTGAATATGGTCTTACATCTGCCAAACTGACACTCAGTACCCAGTGCCGAATACTAATCAGTATTCAATTGGCTATTTCTACCTACATTTCTTGCCCTCCTACCAAAATAAAAAGTCACAATGGCTAGGGAAAAAAGTTAGCTTGGGTGACATGTTGGGACTCATAGCTGACAAACCCCTCCCCGATGAATCATCCTTGAAGCTCACATGAAAGCCATTTTGAAGAGTCCAAATGGACTTGCATCTTTGTTAATAAGACATCATTTCATATATAGCTAAACCAAGTCCTAATGAGGGGTTATCCCTCAAATTAGCTTAAGCAATGAGGTGCAAAGCAGTCTTGACAAAAATGTCAACACCCAGTTTTCTGAGTAGTATATAATCTCCCCAGCAAAGAATTTAATCTTCAAACTTGGCACTTTTGACCAATGTCAATTAGGGTTTTAGCAATATGCCTCATAGCCAGTCAGTCAGGAGGTTCTATAACTCGCTGCCACTCTCTGCCTTTGTACATGGCTCTAATCCTACAAGCTTTGGAGATGGAATTTGTTTGCCCAGCACCTGCCACAGCAGAACTTGGCTTTTGGACAACTATCAAGAAATCCACAATGAAACCACCAGCTACCAACTGACCGGTTGTGAGCAGGACCACTTCACAGAGGATATGTGTGTGGAAAGTTTCTGTCTCCCCAGGGTTGTCCAAACAACTTATTACAATTCCAAGCCTTCTGAAAGGATATCATGTCAATCAAGAAGTTCTTTGGCAGTGTCAGAAAATGTTTCTCAGTCTTGCCAGTCACCAAGAAGTCACCAAGTGGGTTTTGGATCCCAGCACTGCCAATCCAAGAGCTACATGACTTAGTGTTGTACACTAAATACTTCTGTGTCTCACAGTTGCCAGACTCTGGAATATGACTCCAGCCAATGCCAATGTCAGATCTCTGAATCCAGTTCCTGTAGCCCACTGGTCAGTGTTGCCCCTGGGCCACAACTCCCGGAATTCTACGAGCCAGCTTGCTGTATTACTGGTGGTTTGCAGTTGCCTAGTAAATGAAGATTCCGTAGGGAATATGGGATATTTTAATCATTTCTAGGATATCTGGGGACTTTATGTTTCTAAATACAAAATATTGCATGTGTTGTAACTGAATGAATATGTCTTCTAATAGTGTCTCCAAAGACAAGAATTTTTTTCTCTTTTGGCATTTCTGGTGGTAATCTGGAGTTGGAAAGCCTATTTTAGAGAGCAAAACTGTATTTATGACAGAGCAATAAGTTGCAACCAAGAAATAACTTGACTCCTTAAAAAGTTAACCTACATTTTGACTACTAGTTATTGTCTATGGAAATATTTAGCATTGTATCTACTTTATTAACTAATGTGCCACTAATATAAAAAAATTCATAAAGTATTCAAGTTAAGACTATAGAAATATAACTAGTCTTCTTAATTCTGATAGTTCCAACTCTATTAAATAATAGTTAATGGTTAATGACATCAACAATGCCTCTAAAGTAGGGGCTTTTTTGCCATTCATTATTTTATCAGCTGAATCAAAACATTCTTAAGCTAACTATTAGGTGGAATTTTTTGCTTTAGTAAGAAAAAAGGATTTTGAATTTCACCTTTGTGGACTTTGGAATCACTCAACAAGAACAGTATAAAGTGAAGTTTAGCATCTGTACTCCAGTCCTGTCATTTTTTTTAAGTGAATATTGATTTGGAAAGATGTTCTTTCTCTTAAATAAATTTACTTCATTTGGAATTAAAAACCTAATTGTCTCTATAGTACTTTTATTCAACTTTTAGTTAGTTTTATGTTATAGATATTGGAGTGATTTTTTTACCTGATAAAAATATATAAATATTTGAAGAATAAAATAATTTGTTCCCTCATAATTTTTGTAGTATGAACTAGAATACTGCTGCTTGAACAATATTTAATTTCCAACTATGTGAGCATATGTAAGATATTTAGACATTACTGTACATCTTAGTAAGCTTGGGAAGATATGATTGCATGCATTAGCCAGTTTTTCATTGCTCTAACTAAATACTTGAGAAAATCAAGTTATAGGACAGATTTATTTTGACTTATAGTTTCAGTATATGATCAGCTGTTTCCATTACTTTATCCCTCTGCAAAGCAGAAACACCATGGTGGAAAGGCAGGTGGAAGAAAGATGTTCATGTTGTAGCAGCAGGAGAGCCCACTAGTTCTGAACACTGCTGCACTGAAATCCAAATTCCCATTGCATGAACCTTTTGGGACATGTCATATCCAAAATATAACATTTTACCAAAGACTCGTGTCTATGTTATAAAGCAAAATGTATTTAGTCTACTTCCAAAAGTCATCATTGTCTTAAGAGTTCCAGGATTGCTCAAAAGTCCAAACCTAATGTCTCCTCTGAGACTCAAGACAAACTCTGAGACTCCTCTGAGTGTGAGGCCCTCTATCATCAATAAGTTACATTCTTCCAAAGTATGATTGCAAAGGGTGAACATTTCTATGCTAAGGGAGGACTAGGGGCACAGAAAGGAGATACAAGACCAAAGCAAACGTTACAGTTGGGCAAACATTACATACTGTAGCTAGCTCTAGGTCTGGCACCTGGAGCACACAGTGTTGAGATATGAGATCCAAAAGGCTTGGAGAGCCCAGCCCTGTGGCATTGCTGAGTCCAGCCAACAGGACTTCTCTCATGGGCTACCTCAGTTCACTGCCTACAGTTTTACTTGTCAAACGTTCCATGGTCCTGGCACTCCAACTTCCGGTCAAGTCCACTGTATGCTCAACCTCACTCTCACTATTTCACATATTGCTCTCTCATGGGCAAAGCACAGGGCCCCTGATCATGTCAGACATTGTCTGATCTCTCAGGCCTTCCTATACAATCTTGGAAGCAACCATGGACCCATAACTCTCACATTATGCACGCCTGCAAAATTAGCACCAGGTGTACAATCTCCACATTTGAGACTTGCTGGAGTAGTACCACAGCTCCAGCGGCTTCTGAGAGCCTGGATGGTCAAGCATAGTGAAACAAAGACCAGGGGACTGATTTCCTAGGTAACCCTGCTCCAGCACAGGGTCCTAGGACTTTCTTGGCCAATGAAAGGTTTGCATTTTTATATCTTTGAGCATAAAATAGGTGGAGCTTTGGTGATTTCTAAGATATATTTCCTATTGTCTCAGTGCAAGGTTTCTTAATAATCATGCTAATGTCCTCACCAACCACACTTTCTTTGGCCTGAACTTTGCTTGTGTTTCTTTTCTAACCAACCTGTGGATTTTTACAATTCTCTAATTTACTGTTTGCTCTCAATTCTTACCATAAATCTGATTAAAAGCCCCCAACAATATCCATGTCACAGCCTGAGTACTCTGTGGGCCTTTAAATTTCTTCCTCCATTTAACTAATATGTAACATTTAAATTCAGTCTCCTACAAAAATCTCAAGGTGTGGACAAAATATAGATAAATGTTTTTCCAGAATGTAACGTATGTGACCTCTAGTATCATTCCCAATAGAGTATTCATTCCCATCTGAAACACTGTAAATTCAGTCTTACTGCCCACATTCTTATCAGCCTTCTGCTCTTCAGAGCTTTTAGCAACATTACCCATTTAGCTCTGTTTACAAGATTCGAGAGGTTCTCTAATCCATATCTCCAAGCCTTTGCAAACTTCTCCTGCCAACCAGTTCCAAATTCTTCTGAATTTGGTCAGCTGTAGTCATAGCAACAACTCTACATTCCTGGTACCAATTTTCTGTATCAATGAGCTCTCCATTGATAGGACAAAATCCCCCAGAGAATCAACCTGGAAGAGAAGGGTGGATCTTAGCTCAGTTTCAGCAATTGAAGTCCATATTTGGCTGGCTCCTGTGTTTGGAAAAGTGAAAATGTCATGGTGGATGAGCAAGGTGTAACACAGCTGCTTACCTCATGGGAGCCAGGAGGCAGAGAGTGAAAGGAGACACCAACATCTCTGAACACTGTTACCCTGGATGCCAAGCCTCTAACACACCATTCTTACAAGACATATTATATCCAAGCCTTAACCATAGGGTACTGTGTTAAAACAATGCACTGGAAGTGTTCATTTTACTATTTTGTACATAGCAGATTGTCAGTAAGATTTAGTAAGCCTCTTAGCTAAAAACAAACAAACAAAAAACAAAACAACAATAGGGCCAGAGATTTAGCTCAGTAGTTCTGCCACCTGCCCCTCAAGGACCTGAGTTTGATCCCTGGTACCAAAAACAACAACAACAATAAAAATACTCTGCATGGAGGGGATGGTAAAGATTTATAAATAAATCTTGAAATTTATGGCTGATTAGGAGAGCTAGTCACCCAAAAAAGAGATGAGTTTCTTCATATTTTGGAAAGTACAACATCTTCTACTAGAGAAAATGATTAAAGATACATGTCTACCCAGTTGAAGTGGACTGGCAAGTATCTCTTGAAATAGTGACAAAGCTAATGTTATCCATCGTTTACCATTCAGTTCTGTGAGTGAATGTGTTGGTGATCACACATGTCAAACTGACTGAGCCAAGAAGGACTCAGATGAACTATAATTTCCGAGTGTCTGTGATCCCTTTCTAGGTGAGATTCACATTTGAATCAGTAGATTTATAGATTTCCCTCTTCAGTTTGAGTAGGCATCTTCCATCCACCAAAGTGCTGAATGAAACAAGGTGGAGGAGGATTTTGATCCTTTTTGCTTCCTGCCTTTCTACTTACACAGCGACATCTGTCTTCTTCTGCTTTTGGACCAGGATATATATCACTGAGTCCCTCAGTTCTCAGGCCTTCAGACTGGAATTACACCACTGCCCTTTGCTGGCCTCCAGTTTACAGATGGCATATGATGGGACTTGATCATAATCCATAATGATGTGAGCCAATTCTTTATAATTAGTCCCTCTGATTCTGTTTGCCTGAATAGTAAAGTGTTCTGACAAAAAGAGACATTTACCTATAAATTCTATAAGCCAACATTATAAAACAGGTGCTTTGTGGAGGGGTGCAATCGAAGGAGAACTGAGAGACATCTCAGAGATGCTGAATATTGTTTGATCCCATCAAAAGCAACAGAAGAGCATCCCTGCAGTTGGAGCATTTCTATAAAACATTTATATAAAACACAGCAGTGATGACAGCAACACAGCACTGGCAAAATTAAATACTGACTTCATCTCATGGTGGCTTCTCAGTTTTCCAACCACAGCAAATTATGGGAGCACAGATGAAATTTATTCACAGGCAAGATGGTTGCTAAGGAATCTCAAAGTGGACTATTGGGAAGAGTTCACTTTATTTGGGCCACCTTTATAAACACAAGAGGGAAAACACAGACAATGCATGTACTCTCCAAAGATACAAGGGGTGGTTAAAAAGTAAAGTGAGTATTTAAGTTAAAAACATTTATTAGAGTAAAAGATATCCATTAATCCTCCTTTAAAAAAATCTGCATGGATCCAAATACACTTATCCCATCATTCTTGCTACTTTCTGAAGCAGTTCTAGAAGTCCTCTTCTGTATCTTTAGGGAGTGTGATAAAAAGGACAGTGCAGGGCTGGAGATTTAGCTCAGTGGTTTCACTGCCTGTTACCCAAGCGCAAGGACCTGAGTTCAATCCCCAGTACCAAAAAAAAAAAAAAAAATACAGTGCATGCCACTGCCAAGTAACATCCAACAACAAGACAGGCTCCTAAAACCATCACAGTGTGTGCTCCCGCCTTCTAACCAGATTTTGTATCATGGGAATTCTGATTTTTTCTCAAATTCAAAATGACCTTGAAAGGTAAATGGTTTGAATTGATTCCCCATATGGAAGCATCCATAACAAAACTAAAGAAATGAAAGCGAACTTCCAGAACTGCTTCAGAAGTGGCAACCGTGATGGGGTTAGTGTCTTCAAAGCTAGGAGGCTTGTTTTGGGGATAATTAATGGTAGTGCCTTCTTCTGTAATAATTTTTAAAAATTTAAACACACACCACATTTTTTGATCACACATTGTGTGTTCCTTTATATGCT